GTTGGACGTGTTCAAGTCAGCAGGTCCAGATGCTCTCCACCCCAGGGTGTTGAGGGAGCTAGCAGGGGTTATTGCAGGGCCCTTGACATGGCTTTACAAGCGCTTGGCCAAGTGCCAGATGACTAGAAGAAAGCCAACGTCTATGGCGCTCAGCCTCTCATCATAAGGTCTGTTTTCCTGACCTCTGATCATGCACGTGGCTCTCCTCTGCACTCTCTCAAGCTTCTTCACATCCTTTTTGAATTGTGGGTCCCAAAACTGGATGCAGTACTCCAGCTGCAGCCTCACCAAGGCCGAATACAATGGGAGAATGACATCCCAGGATTTGTTTGAGAAGCATCTTCTTGCAGAAGAAATTTGCTGAAGGGTCGTACGAATTGGCTGAAGGGTTGTACTCAGAGGGTGGTGGTGGACGGGTCATATTCGACCTGGGGGGAAGCGGGCAGTGGAGTCCCCCCAGGGCTCGGTCCTTGGACCCACGCTGTTCAATTTCTTTATCAGCAATTTGAATGATGGGGTAAAAAACAACCTGTTCAATTTGCTGATGATACCAAAATTTGGGGTGAGGTGGGCACGTTACCAGGGAGGGAAAGACTGCAGCAAGACCTGGATAGGTTGCAGGGGTGGGCTAACAAAAATAGGATGCGTTTCAATACTGACAAGTGCAGGGTGCTGTACTTGGGCAGTAGTAACCAGCAGCACACTCATAAGATGGGAAACTCCCTTCTTGAGAGCACGGAGGCAGAAAGGGATCTTGGAGTCATCATTGACTCAAAGCTGAACATGGGCCGACAATGCGAGGTCACGGTCGGCAGGGATAACCAGACCCTATTGTGCATCCACAGGTGCATCTCAAGTAAGTTCAAGGAGGTGATCCTCCCCCTCTATGTGACACTGGTCAGGAGTCAGCTGGAGTAGTGTGTCCAGTTCTGGGTACCCCACTTCAAGAGGGATGTGGACAACATTGAGAACAGCCAGAGGAGGGCCACCCACATGATCCGGGGACAGCAGGGCAGACCCTACAATGAGAGGTTATGGGACCTGAACCTGTTCAGCCTTCACAAGAGAAGGCTGAGGGAGGACCTGGTGACCGTCTATAAACTCACTAGGGGGACCAGAAGGGTTTGGGGGAGACCTTGTTTCCCCCAGCGCCCCCAGAGTAACAAGGAATAACGGCCACAAGTTGTTGGAGAGTAGGTTTAGATTAGACATCCATAGGAACTAGTTCACAGTCAGGGCGGCTAGGATCTGGAACCGACTTCCAAGGGAAGTGGTGCTGGCTCCCACCCTGGCGGTCTTTAAGAAGTGGCTCGATGCCTACCTGGCTGGGGTCATTTGAGCCCAGTTTTCTTCCTGGCCAGGCAGGGGGTCGGACCTGAAGATCTACAAGGTCCCTTCCGACCCGACTTCTATGATTCTATGATAGTTATCTACATCTTTGTATAGATATAGATATATTTATATAGATATATACATATCTATATCTATCTATAGCTATATATATTGCTATATATATCTATATCTATTAGGACTGGGTAAATAGGCACATATTCAATTCGGATATGGCTGATTTGGACTTGATAAATTTGATTTGGAGATTCAACCACAGGGTATAATAAGAAATCAATGAAATATTTATAACTTTATTATTTATTTGGTGATTCAGATGAAACTTGCAGGGGTGTTAGCCTCTGCTGAGGGCATGAAGCTTGCCAAGCTCCAAGGTGATAGGTCTAGGAGTTTCTGGGAAAATGCACCTCAAATTCCTGAAAGCAAAAGTCATACCAAGTATGTGTGCTAAGCCACAGTGGGGTGAAAACGGCAGGGGCGTTAGGTCTTGCTGATGCCACAAAGCCTGACAGGTTTCAAGGAGATAGGTGCAGGGGTTTCTGGGAAACTGCACCACAAACTGCTGACAAGCCAAACTCATGACATAGATGACACTGTGTGAATGTTAAGGTGGAGCAGGGTGAAAGCTGCCGGCCTGCTAGCCCCTACTGTGGACACAAAGCTTTCCAGCTGCCAAGGAGATAAGTACAGGGGGAGTCTGGGTTCTGGGGCCCTGCACCTCTGGCTGCAGGCAGGCAAAACTCGTGACATGGGTGATTGTGGGACTGTGTGTGTGTTCAGGTATTCTCAAAAATGCAGGCAAGAACCTGCCGGTGCTATTGGTGTTGAGCCAGCTAAATTATTTTGACCTGCCATTGTTTACAGTGGTGGACTGGACCAAACCGAGGCTGTAGGGGACGAGGAGGACTCACAGGAGCACACAAAAAAAAAAAAAGTTCAAAATATCTCACCATTTTAGTTGTCAGAGTTTGAGGTATGGTTTCCCAGAAACCCCTGCACCTATCTATTTGATACATGGCAGGCTTTGTGGCCTCAGTGAGAACCGCCACCACTGCAGGTTTCACCCTGCTGTGTTTTCACACACACACACACACACACACACACACACTCGCATGACATGAGTTTTACTTTCAGGAATTTGAGGTGCAGAAACACCTGCACCTATCACTTTGAAACTTGGTAGATTTCATGCCTTGGAAATTGGATACCAGCCCTGTAAGTTTCATGCACACCTGAGGACAGGATTCATAGATTCATAGATACATAGATGTTAGGGTCGGAAGGGACCTCAATAGATCATCGAGTCCGACCCCCTGCATAGGCAGGAATTATTTCTTGTAACCCCCGGGGGCGCCTTGGTGAATAAACCCTCACCAATTCCCTTCTGTGCCCCCGTGATGAACTTATAGGCAGCCACAAGGTCGCCTCTCAACCTTCTCTTGCGGAGGCTAAAAAGGTCCAGGTTCTCTAGTCTCTCCT